AGGCAGGGGGGAGCCTCGCTGCTCCCCAATTGTCTGCATTCTAAAGGCTCCATGAAATGGTGTGAGACAAAATAAACCTCGTTGTAAGTAGATCGTGGAGGGCAGTGCTACGCCTCCATCATAAGAGAGAGAATCTAGGGAACGGGGCTGAGCTGAGGGCCTGCGGGCAAAAGTCCTCATGGCGGCCTGGACAATGGCAGGGAGTGTGATCTTCTCCCATAAGCAACGAGGCCAGAGCCCCAGCCTCCAAAACCTGTCCCCGTGGACCAGACACAGCTGCACCCATCTGACTCCCGTGCCCAGCCCTGCCTTCTGGCTGGGACAGTGCCACTGTCAGTCCCGGAGAGCTATGCAGAAGAGACAGCATGGCCCGATGGTCACAAGTGTGGCCTCTGGGTCAGGCAGGCTGGGTTCAAATCCTAGCCGTGCCTTCCCCAGGTGTAACTGGGCAAACTGCATAGCTTCTCTGTGCCTCAGTTTGTTCACCTGTGCAATGGGGATACGCCTTCGGAGGCGTGAGATGAGGGTTGAGAGAGCAGTGCATATAAAGTCCTTTGGTTCAGGGGCTGCCTGGCACACTTAACATTCAAATAAACCTATAGATTCATAAATATGGGCCAGCAGCATATACTACCGCCAGAGAGAACAATCTTTTTATCTTTTTGGCTTTTCTGTACTCCTGCCCCAGGGGAATTCAAGCCACTTCTTGCCTGATTCACCTAAGGGGGCTCGAGCGGGGCTCGTGTTTCCTGTAATCAAAAGAACCCTGCACAGAACAGCTTCCTCCTCCCTTTGTCCAGCTCACTCCAGCCAAGCAGGACCCGACTCTTCCCGCCCTGCAGCTCCACCTCTTGCTCCGGCCCACACCAGGAAGAGCACTGTCACCTCCTCAAGAGTCTGTCCCTCACTTTCCAGGGCCACCATTCTGTACCACATCTCTCCAAAACCTGCCCCTGGCCCCCTGCCACAGAGCCTTCCTGTTCTGCCCACGTCCGGGTACTGTCCACGGGGGCCTCCCCAACGGATGGATCAGCCCAGATGCCATCACTGAGCTGTCCCAGCCCTGGGCAAAGTCCTCACCTCCTCTAGCTGAGCTTGCACCTGTCTAGAAGGGAGACACCACTGCCAGTGTGGCCTCTCGAACAGAACGATCATGAAGCACAGACCAGAAAACGTGTGCAATGACTGAAAACTTCCAAGTGCTTTCCAAACGTGCAGCACTTTTTCAAGATGCTCCGAAGAATGCAAAGTAGTTTGAAGATGAACCTGTAGGCTCTTCATTCCCTATCACTCTGTCTCCTTCACCATCTTCTGGGAACTCTGCAGAACAGGACATTCCAAGGGGCCCCACACACCCACCAGCCACGCCAGACAGGCCCCAGATGTACTGGCAGCTGAACCTTTGTCTCAAGGGGACAGAGAGGGCCCTTCGCTCCCAAGGCCTCACAACTCTTCGTCCCTGGAGTGATCAGTTCTAGGACGTGGAAAACACGGTCTCTCCAAGTCTGCCCATATACATATCTGAATTTCAAATGTTCTGTGGTCCATGATAAATAATTTACATAAAGGGCTGGCTGGAGGGAGCACAGCAGGATACAAGAGGGAAAAGCAGAATGCAGTAGCCCAGATTTAATTCCACCGGAGTGCACAGAGAAATCCTTAGGCCCCATTGGAAGGAAATAGAGCATCTTTTCACATCTCCCTCCACCCTCTGTGAAAAAGCATGGCCAAGAGGGGCTGTAAATTATGGCATCTTCAGCTAATTTTACATGACACAGATACAAACAACTTTATTTTTCCTAATCATGGAGAATAATGAAATCGCCGTACCTCCCTCCATCCATGTTCTCTATCCAGGGGTTCTCATTGAAAACATTTGGTGGAAAAATAATACTGGGGCATTGCTCTTAATAAAAAAAAAAAAAACTCTAATCACTTTGAGTTTAATTCAAATATGCAGAGAGGAACATAAGCTTCTCCTGCATGACGGTACAATGACAAAATGAGTTAATTACCAACTCATCGTAAGACAGATGTACTTGTCATAGGAACAGGAGCCATTATTTCGCACAAAATAATGACCCAGATAAAAAGTAATGGCTGCGAGCTGGAGCCGCCAGCGACACAGCTTCATCTTGGCCTAAGTGAATGGCAATTAACGAGTGCCACCACGCTATACGTACAGGGGGACCGAGCTACTCATTAAGTATTTACTGAAAAAACACCAATGGCTCCTAGCATATTTCTTCCCAGGAAGCTCCTGTGATCTTCTACCTGTGTGATGACAGAAAAATGTCCACACGTGTAAAATTCTGCCGTCAGCTAGGACAGCTGTTGCCCCTGCAGAGGGGCTTTCTCTCCCCTCTGCTCTTTGCACACACAGGTGGTGTTTTCTCCAGGAACCTTGTCCAACAGCAGAAAACAGGAGCAGAGGAACGGGGGCCCGGTTCCATTCATGTGTCCCTCTTCTCCTGGTTGCCATGGCCACTGGCCTAGAAATAAAGCCATGGCCAGCACTGACAGCCAGAAATGCCGGAGCCTTCCAGGTCCAGCCCTCGGTCACGAGAGTGCAGGGGTGAATGGGGGGCAACCTCCGCACTCCTGGGTTTTCCAAGGCCGGAAACTGTACTTCCACCCTGCTGCCCATGACCACGAACCACCTCCCTCTGGAGAGGGGCGGAGGTGACAGACCGGCATGCGCCTTTGGAGACAGACTGCGTCAGAAATCTCGGCGCTTCCCTAGTGTGCAAGTTGTCTAATTTGTTAAGACCCAATCGTTTTTATTGCAAATCTAGGTGCACAGCAGGTGCAAGATGACACAGTGGGCTTTAAAGTGTGTAAGTTTGAGCCCTGGCTGGGTAGCTCTGTAGGTTAGAGTGTCGTCCTGATACACCAAGGTTGGGGGTTTGATCCCCAGTCAGGGCACATACAAGAAGCAACCAATGAATGCATCAATAAGAGGAACAACAAATCCACCCCCCCCATCAATAAAATAACTTTAAAGTAGATACTTTGTAAAATGTTAAGTACAAACAGAGAGTGAGTAGGTGTCAAAGACTGATTTAATTAATTAGGCAACAAACCATCAGACACTAATGTATGCACAGAGCTGATGAGGGGGGAAATGAATGGTGGGATAACAGTCAAGTTTTAAATAAAAACTGGCTTGTCCTTCAGGGTACACAAACCATAACCTTGCGGTTATCTCCTCCTCTGCTGGACAGAGGTCCATCTGCACTCCAGATGCTGGAATCACGGATCTGAGCGCCTGCTCATCAGGCTGCTGTCTCCGTAAGACCCGATATGGGCACTGGCAATGGGTCAGCCACACACTGATCAGGTTTGGTTGAAACAAAAAGCACTAAATCACATGTTTTTAAAAGTTCATAGATGACAGTACGGTCAGAGCCTCGTGCCCTCCTCTTATCCATTTACCCTCAAATATTCCAAGCATCTGTGTCTTAATTACAAAACCACATTGAAAACTAACCTCCCCCACCCTTGCTAGCCCCAGTACCAGATCATGGGGTAAATTCCACCCCTCGGAGGTTCCTACCCAAGTTCATTAGGACATTTTATTTGCAGCAACCCAGAGAAGACGGCTCTATGTATACAGACCTCTACACAGTTACACACACACTCGTGTTCTCAGGCTTACAGGTGTGTGAACGCACACTGCTGCCCCCATTTCCTAAGCAACAGCCTGGATTTTACCGGAGTAGAAAGTCTCCATCGTCCTAGTAAAAGTACCAGACATTTTGACCTGAGAGATCATCCGATCCCTAGTCTACAGTCAAGGCCCCCACTATCCACGAGGGGTTCTTCCCAAGGCCTTGTAAAGCCTGCACACTCAATAAATGTTGAAAGGAGGAGGCAGGAACGGAACAAAACAAGGACTCATTGGGTGTTTAAAGGGACAGTCTAATTGTTTCACTCTGCTGCGAAATTCCTCTTGACAGCCTCCCGCAGCTTTTACAGCCAGCCGGCCCCTCCTCCCGTCCTAACCCTCATCCCCTTTCTTCCCCACGTCCTCTGATCTTTTGATGCCCGGCTCTCTCCTGCCTCAGGCCCTCATACGTGTGCCTTCTCTGTTGGGAGGACTCTCCAACCCACGCGACCCACGCAGCATCACCAGACAAGCCCTGAGCACCCTCTGTCTGGGCTCTAAGAACCTCCCTGACACCCAGCCCCTGCTTCCCTCGGGCAAAGCCCCTCTGGAGCTCACCTCCCTGCTGCGAGGGGGCGGGGCAGGGGCCACATCTATCTACTCTGCTCTCTGCATCCACGCACTTGGACCATTTCTGGGCCAAAGTTAGAAACAGCCAACACAGTCATTGATGTTGACTGCTTGGACCTCAAATCACGGCCCCTCTATGGGATGGGGAACAAGACAAGCATTAGGCAATGAACTGAGCCCCGCGTGGGCAAGGGCACTCCTTCTGCAGTGAGTGTCATCCTGTCGAAACTCAAGTGGACCCCGCGATCAGGCGGCGAACCTCACATGGCATGAAGATGAGGAGTTCAAACCCAGAAGGCTCTGGGCAGAGACGTAATCCCCTGCACCAGGCAACGTTCCCTGGTTTCACGGCAACTCAGTGGCCACAGGGCTCTGGCGTGCTCCACACCAGGAAAGGAAGGGTGTGGTGGCAATGAGGACCCACAGGACGAGGGGAAGGTGGGGTCTGGGAGGGTCACACCACCCTGAGCATTTGAGGGGAGTCATGGCCGGGGAGCCGCAGGCCTGCCAGCTGTTAGCTGTTAATGTCACTCCAGCCTTAAAAGACAGGGTCCAGGTCCTGCCAGCCTGGGAGGGCGGGGGAGCACACTGCCAGAGCAATGTGTGGGTGAGGGCTACACCCCAGTGGGGCTGCTCAAAGGCACGGTCAGAAGAGGTGCTGGCTCCATCCCAGCCCATGGAGTAAGCCGACTGCCCCAAGCCAGCCCCTTGCTCGTTCTCTCGGGAGAAACCTGTTCAGTGGTGCCCTGACGGCAGGGCTCACCTTCTTGATGAACTCGGGGATGATTTTTTGGTCTGTCAGGTGAACTAAGGAGGAACAGCAATCTAACTCCAAGATGTAGCCTTCATTGTGGACATCAGGGTTCTGAGATCTGAAGAGACAGGAAAAAACACGTATGTGAAGATTAAAATTTTGCACCATATAAAAAAAAGGCAGGTGTTTCATAAAACTCTAAATTACTTCCTGAAAGTAAATGCCACCAAGACACCGCTGAAAAATAATTTATGGTAAACAGCTCAAATAATATATAGAGATCTACATCATGCAAATGACCTCCCCGACAAATCATCAAGTAAAAGACATCCTCCTGGGACTGGGGGGTTAGCACAATATGGCTTATACATTAAACCACACACACACACACGCCAGCAATGCATCTTTATTACATTCGCTGTATCTCTTTAATGATACCTCTAATTTTTTTTTTTTTTTTGCTTTTTCTGAAGAGAATACATTCATATATTCATCGCTTAGAAAATTCAAAACTAAGACATTTAAAGGGTTTAATCCCTACAGAGGGCAATCTGGCAAAATCTATCAAAAAGAAAGATGCAGAAAGAAGAGACTATAAGCCCTGGCCTGTTTGGCTCAGTGGTTAGAGCGTTGGCCTGTAGATCAAAGAGTCGCCGGTTCGATTCTGGCCAAGGGCTTGTACCTCAGTGTCCCTGGCTCTGGTCCGGGTCGTGCAGGAGGTAACCAGTCGATATGTCCCTCTCACATTGGTGTGTGTGTGTGTGTGTGTGTCTCTCTCTCTTTCCTCCTCCCACTCTATCTGAAGATATTTGAACAAATATCCTCGGATGAGGATTAAAAAAAAAGAAAAGACTATAGGCAACTAAAGTAGGAATTCGGGGAGAAGCGTGGACAGCGGAGGTCAACACCTGCAGCCTGCCGGTCAGTGCAGAGTTGTGCCCCTGCCCCTGCCCCTGCCCCACAGGTGGTGGGGCTGCTCCCCCTTGCCCACCATACAGACATGCACACAACACAATGCCCTGCACGTTCAGGGGTCACTAGAAGAACATGCCACCGCTTCGGCCACTCCTTTCAGGAGCTCCTGTAAGACACGAAGTTGGGTGGAGGAACGCCTGGAAGCCACGTGGCTGCCTGATTGAAGGCGATTCCTTGGCCCAGGCAGCTGTGAGGCGACAGGAAGTGGGACTGTGGCTAAGGGTTACAGAACCTGCCCTCTCCACGGGGCAGGACTTAGAGGCGGGCCCTGGGCTCTGTCCAGGACTCACGCCACAGGCACAGCCCCGACGGAGGGGTGGACAGCCCACTTACGAGGAGCGCCACCAAAGAGGGGCCCCTGCCAGCCCGTGACAGCAGGGGTGGCCAGAAAATTCTTAAAAAATGGGCACTTCTACACTGACCTCCTAAGCACACTTATATATACACACCAAAAACCGTTTCTGTGTATATGTTTGCTATGTTTTTTAAATGAATTTCCAAGGTTCTTATATATCAATCAAAGCGATTTATGCTACTGTTAACCATCTGGGTGTGATTTACATGGAACTCAAAAGTGAAAGCATTAGAAAGGCTTGGTTTCTCCCAGGTGTACACATGTGACTGGGTAAGCACAAATCATCAGCCTATTTTTTTTTTTTTATCCTCACCCAAGGACACTTTTGCATTTATCTTCAGATAAGATGGGGGGTGGGGGGGAGAGGGAGGAGAGAGAAACATCGACGTGAGAGAGAGACATTGACTGGTTGCCACCCACACGACCCCAACTGGGGTGGGGACAAACTGCAACCGAGGCACATGCCCTGAGCAAAAACTGAACCCAGGACTCTCTGGTCTGCGGGCTGACGCTTGAACCGCTGACCAAACCGGCCAGGGCTCAACAGCCTATTTTGATTTTATTTTTCCTTCTAACACATCCTTTCAGGAATAGGGACGGAGGCATCTAGTTTGGAAATATAAAAGCATAAACTGATTCCAAACTGCTCAAACCAGGATGAACTAGTTCCAAAAGAACAAGCCAGTTCTGCACCCCACCCTTCTTGCCTTCAAAACTTCACCAGAGACTAGACTCATGTTCTCACTTTCCTCCTGTTTTTATTCCCCTCCCTCCCTCCCTCCGCAAACAAAACGCATGCTAAGAGGAACTAAGGCAGAAGAGTGCCGACGTTTGAAAGAGCAGCCTTGGTCATGACGTAAGGTCGGTCATAAGCTTGGTGTGGGGTCTCCGACAACAAAGGTAGGCATGGGAGGAGGACTGTTCTAGGATGTGAAATCCCAGCTGCTCTGTCACATGAAGACTACATCAGATGGCATGCGGTTATTTATAGATGCCCACTGAGATCTGAAATGATTAGGTTGAAAACAGTAGCCATTTTAAATAAGTCAACACCATATTTACTTGGTTAATCACCCAAACAACCAATGGAGGGAAGAAGAGCCTGCCTCGAAGCATCTCACACCCAGATTCGTCCGAGATCATCTTTTTTATTTTATCCTCACCTGAGGACATTTTTGCATTTATCTTCAGATAGAGTGGGAGGGAGAGAGGGAGGAAGAGAGAGAAATATCGACGTGAGAGACACACATCAAGTGGTTGCCACCCACACGACCCCAACCGGGAGGCCAGGGACAAACTGCAACTGAGGTACATGCCCCTAGCGGGAACCGAACCCAGGACTCTCTGGCCCATGGGCCGACGCTCTAACCACTGAACAAACCAGCCAGGGCAGAGATCATCTTTAGTCAGGATCTAATTACACCATCTTTGCTTCTGCAACAAGAAGTTCTATGTGAAGAAAGACAGCTCTGGTTCACTCTGCTGGAGAATCAACTCAGTTACAACTGGACAGAAATAAGTACAAATGATCAACAAACAGCAGTATTACCAGTTTTCTAGATGAAACATGAAAAATCACATCTCAGTCTACAGTGTCTTGGAAAAGCAAATCCAATGCCTATTGGAGGAACAGATGAGCAACGAATCAGTCTCCCTTGCCTTTAGGAATTCCCTCCTCAATTTGAAATGAAAGGACAGTAACGCCGGAGAGTGTGCAAAGGGGAGAGGACATGGCAAAGACCCCTGAACCCTCTGAGGACAGGAGCTGGCTGCCCGAGTCTTTGCAGTCAGCACTCGGTGAGTGGTCACACGTGATACAATGTCATGTACGTGACCCACTTCTAGTTAGCTTTGGAACCTGCAGCCTCTAACTAATAAATCTAGGGGAAATTATGGAGCAGAGGATGGAGGGAGATGGGAAGCGTATTTCATCGTTAGCATGCTGCTCTCGAGAGTGCCTACAGTTAATCTCAGAGTGCCGGGAGTTAATTTCCAGGTAAGAGAGGCTTTGGCTGGTAGTTGATCCTGTATCTCCAAAAATGCATGCTGTGTCCCTCGTTATCCTTCTGATGAAAACCCGGATCTCTCTGGCCTTTGCAGAAGTGGAAGCCACCAGGGCGTACGTCCGGGGAAGTCTGGTGGTTCCCCACATCCTTCTCCAGGATGACGCAAAGCCTTGGCCTTTGAGGAAGCAAAGGAGGGTGGTAAAGACCTGCTCGGCTGAGCATTTCGGCTTAGTGCTCCTTCCTTAGGACCTTGATTGCTGCAGAAGACCTACTCCCTCCTGTTGTGTGCCTCGGCTGCTTTCCCTTTTAAATGGGAATATTATGAGTAACTATCTCTTAGAATCACTGCAAAGATAGGCAAGGACAGAGCAAGTACAGCCCTGTTGGCACAGGGCGTGGCATGAGGTCCAGGCTCAACACATATTATTAGCTGCTGATCTAGTGTAACTACATTCTTTATTTCATTTTCTAGCACTCTTTGAAGTTCATAATCGTTCACCCAATCAATACCGACCACACTGTAACTGTGGACCAGACGCTATACTTTGGCACACCCCAACAGACAGAAGAGACAAAGCCTGCCCTGAGGGAACGTACAACCTAGTGGAGGCGCCTGCGCAATCCCCTAACGCAGCGTTTTCACTGGTGGTTTAAGTGTAAAAGGAAAAGAAACAGAACAATGTAAGGAGAATCCGGAGGGAGGCGAGGAAGCTACCGTTGTAATGAGAATGGTTAGGGCAGCCTTGCTGAGAAGCTGACATTTGGAATAAATACTTGTAGGAGGTGGGAGAGGAGGCCATGTGATATCCGGGAAAGAGCTTCCAGGCAGAGGGAAGAGTTCATGCAAAGGCCCTAAGTGGAGGTCACGCGAGGAGGGGCCCTGCGGCTGGAGCTCTGTGACAAAGGACAGAGGAGGAAGAGGAGACAAGTCAGACACTGGGAAGCCTGATACTGCAGGCCCTGCAGGCCATGGTGAAGACAGTGGCTTTCCCTGGGAATGACTGGGGAAGCCCTTGAAGGGTGCTGAACGGAGAAGTGACGTGATCTATTTCAAAAGGATCCCTCTGGCTCTGGGGTAGGGGTGGGGGTCGGGGGGCAGCCAGGAGACTAGCTCAGGGGTCCAGGCAGGAGGCCACGGCAGCTCAACGTGAGTTGGTGGCAATGCAGCCATGGTGCAAAGTGCTGGATTCTGGATATATTTTTAAGGTGGAACCTTTAAGACTTCCTTACGGACAGGTTGTGGGTGTGAAGGAAGAAAGCAGATGAGGGTGACTCTAAGGGTTTCTTCTTCCCTGCCAACTGGGAAAATGGATGAAGTTGCCACCACTATGACTGGGAAGGCTGTGGGTGGCACAGGTTTGGGGGGGGGGATCAATCATTCAGTTTCAGATGGGCTCAATTTGACATATCAAGCAGATATCCAAGTAGATAAGTCGGTAGACAATTTTATACATATTTGAGTCTGTACTTCAGGAGCTGGGGCTGAAGATGTAAATTAAGAGGATATTTAAAGCATGAGATTAGATGAGTTCTCAATTAATGTAAACAGAGAATATTCAAGGATGAGCTTTGGGACCATGATGAGGTTGTGGACAAGAGAGGAGAAGGCAGTAAAGGAGACAAAAAAGTAACCAGGGAGGAAGGAAAAAAACCAAGAGACCATGCTGCCCTGGAAGTAACACCAAGAGAGCATGTTCATCACAGAAAGAGAAACTAAGAAAACAATTCCATTTACCATTGCGGCAAAAAAATTAAGATACCTAGGAATAATCTTAACCAAAG